TTTATGAAGGCGAATGCCCAAAACTTTTGGACCTTGACAGCTCAACCTCTCCCTTCTCCACTTCCCAGCTTGGGCAACCAGTTGCTGTGGAGTCAGCTCCTACTCATGGTGACACCACGTGTCAGAGTACAATGTGTTCCATAGTGTTTTCAGTGGCTGATATTTTGGATATAGATCCTCAGGCTTTTCTTCTGAGGTGCCTCTGGGTGGACTCAAACCTCCAACCTTTTGGTTAGCAGCTGAGTGTCATAACCGTTTGCACCACCTAGGGACAAATGCCTCTATGTTTACAAAACAGAATAAAATATTTTTGTCTTTTTAAATTTTACAAAGCATATAGCAGACAAATTTATTGATATATATTCAACTCCTGACCAAGTATGTTTTTTAGAATATGATGAAATAATTAAAAAAGAGAACAGAAATGTCCATGGAGAACAAACTAAAATAAATAGATACACACACACAATATCTATTATATACATACATATAGATTTGTATATGTACCATATATATATATATATATCTGTGAACATAAAATTAATTTTCTCCCCTTACACACTCATTCCTGGGTTTAAATGTAAATGAGGAAGCTCTTTTCCTACACCATGGATTCTTTAAGTGCATCTATGTGAAACAGTCAAATGCTTCTAGATGCCTCTTTCTGTACTAGGCAGGGCTCAACCATGGACTCACTGTAAGTACATTCCACTTTGAAGTGGGCAGTATACTAACACTGTCAGTCCTTCCCGAGGTTTTTTTCTTCTCTCTATTCTTCTTCTAGCCCTCCTCCTCCCACCTCAAAAGAGCACAAACACACATAGAAAGAAAGCTGCTGCTTGGTAAATGGGGTACTTTTTGGTAGACTGCTCTAACTAAGGAAGAAAAGACAAGGGAGTGGGTGATGTGGGCTATTTTCATGTTTGCTGTAGCTCTGGGAGTTGGAAGAGGTGAAGAGTAACTATAAGTAGCAGCTGGTAACCATGCAAATGTCACAAGTGCCTTTTTTCTTCAACAATGAAAGATGCCATCTCTCATCCATCCTCTCCATTGCAAGATGAATTCTAAAGTCAGGATGGAAAAGGATGGCATTAAAAGTATTTGACTATGGCATGCAAGTAGCTCCTTCTCATATAGCTGATGAAGTTCATACCAAGGAGGAAAAACTACCAAGAAATATAAACATATACATGTCTGTGAATGCCTGAAAAAGTTCTCAAAGAAAACTGACCAAAGTCAAACACTGGTATCCTCTGATAAAGAAAGAGGGAGTGTGGAGTTCATGAAGAGGAAAGTTCTCTTTTTACTTTATGTACTTTTATTTTATAAAATATCTAAACAGTAAGAATGGTTCATGAGTTGCTTCAATTTTTATAAAATCAATTTTAAAATGAAAAGCATGCTAGGAAGTTTTATGAGATTTAAAAGTTAGGAGCATAAAACTATAGCAGATTACTAGCACTTGAAGACTCAGAAAGGTACATAATCCAATAAGGCACATCAGAAGCCTTCTTCTTTCACAATGCATTTAAGCATGCTTAATATTTTACGGACATTATAAGCTTCAAAATTTTACACCAGAGCAGTACTCATCCTTAGCCTTGAAAAGGTTAGGCTATGTTCTCTGTTTGTATACATTTTTGCTGTTCTTCACCGCTGTCATTTAACAAAGCTTTTGAACTCAAAAGTAGAGGTTAATTATTTAAATCTTGAAGTATGGTCAAGAATTCTAAACTAAAAAGATAATACTACCTTAGTATATAGCTTTTTTTCTAAATTATACTTTTGATAAATATATTATCAAGAGTTAAAAGTCGGTGCTGAGGAGGTACATTCCAGTCGCTATAATATTCATTAGGTGTTGAGGTTGCATCCAAGTACACTCCCGGTAATTGAAATGAGAAGACTTTATTAAACTGGTTTCAGATTTTTCAGATGAACAGTCAGGTAACCCAGAGTTCCGATAACCAGGTACATAACAGAAGATAATATTGCACTGACTTTGCAATGCAGCAACATGAAGGTATTATTATTATTAATATCTAGAATATTCCTTTTTCCAAGTATGCCTGGGTTCTAAAGTACATATAGAATAATATTAAACCTAAACCAAATCCGTTGCCATCAAGTCAATTCCAACTCATAGCAACCCTAAAGGACAGAGTAGAACTGTCCCATAGGGTTTCCAAGGAGTGGCTGGTGGATTTGAACTGCTGACCTTTTGGTTAGCAGCCGAGCTCTTAACCACTGTGCCACCAGAGCTCCATAAGAATAATAGGTAAGAACAAAAGCTCACAGTCCAGAATAGGAACTACTTTAAGTCAACTTCATATCGGAATAAAATATGCATCAGTGATATTTTCTTAATGTGAAATGTCTTTAGTGGCTGTGGTCTTTTAAAAGTGTTGGAAGGGGGACATGTGTATTTTCCCAGTAATTTTTTGGAGCACTTACACACCAATCAACTATTTCAGAAATAAAGATAACGAGGGAATATTGGACCTTTATGTGTTAATAAATCACATCATACATTTGCTAGTGTCGTAAGGTAGGGACCAAGTGATCACACACACTTAGCAAAACTTTAGCTTTAAGTCTTTCATTCCTGATCTTGATCACACTTGGGCCCTCATTTCCTAGTAATACTTAAAATAAGAAAAAGGAGTCAAGTAAATAACTGAAATTCAGATAACCCTCACAGCTATATTCCCTACAGCTATATTGGCCAACAGTTTAAATATTCTCCTACATCATATCTTGTACCATAACTGTTAAAACAGAGTTATAAGAACTGACAGGAGTGCCTTCATTCTATAGTGACGTGGTTAATACACAGATTACAGAAAACAGAAAATTTGAAGGAGAAAAAAAAAGAGGCTGTGCTAAAGTACAAAGTAGAAAGCAAATTTTTTAGAAGATGAAAAGTGGCAATGAGATTATTCTGATCTTTATTTCCCCTGCTATTATAGACTCATTTCTGCCACATGTTAAACATGCTGAGATTAGGGCAGACGACTTCGATACAAACTATGGTTTTACTAAGACTTTTAATCAGTTGGCTCACTTTCTGGGTAATAAAGAAAAGGCAGAAAATACTAACCCAAAGGACTAAACAACCAAATGAATCTGAGACTCCACCAGCCTGAGATCAGAAGAACTAGATGGTGCCCGGCTACCACCAACAACCCCCTTGACAGGGAACACAACAGAGAGTCCTGGACACAGCAGGAGAAAAATGCAGAACAGAATTCAAATTCATGTAAAAAGACCAGACTTAACAGTCTGACAGACACTGGAGGAACCCCTGACACTATGGCCCCCAGACGCTCTGTTAACCGAGAACTGAAACCATTCCCGAACCCCACTCTTCAGACAAAGATTAGACAGGCCTATAAAACAAAAAATAATACACATGAGGAATGTGCTTCTTAGTTCTATCAAATATATGAGACCAAATGAGTAGCTCCTGTCCAAAAGCAGGATGAGAAGGGAGCAAGGGACAGGAACTGGACAAGGGACACAGGGAAAACCAGGGTAGAAAGGGGGAGCATGCTGTCACATTGTGGGGACTGCAACCAACGTCACAAAACAATACATGCATAAATTTTTGAATGAGAAATTAACTTGAGGTGTAAACCTTCACCTAAAGCACAATTTAAAAAAACACCCTCAAAATTCCAAACTTAAAAAAAAAAAAGTAAAATTTGACTACCTCCAGTTGAATCCAGTGGACCGTTACTATTAACCTCTGATGAACCATCCCACAGTTTTGGCACTTAAAGGGAATGGACTTGGTAGGCCTGCAATCTGGGTCAACTCCATTCCTTCTCTTATGTTAAATTACTTGGGACAAATCACTTAATCATACTGATCCTCAACGTCCTCAACTGAACAGCTCGAATCACATTTGGCTCACAAAGATGTGAGGGATTAGCCATGATAATCACAGCACATGCACATAGGAGATATTCAACAAATGTTCACCTTTTCCTAGGGGATGGATTGGGGAGCAGCGCAAAGCAGTTAAAAGATTTGGTTCGGTGCTTTAAAAAAAAATCTATGAGAAGATTTCTTCCCTCATCACCTCAAGCAAGTTTCTCTCTTTTCAGAACTCAGACAGCAAAGTATTTGGCACTTTCTCATGCTTTGTATCGTCAGTTACATTTTCACAGCATAAAATCTTGTGTTTTTAACCAGATTAACACTGCTCCAAGAGACTTCTTTTTATATACATTGCCTAATCTAGAGCCTCGCTCATTACAAGTAGCAATAAATGTTGGTTGATACAGCACCGACTGGGGTGCGCTGTATTCAGAGGGCTTCCGCGACAGTGGCTTTAAAAGATAGAGGCCTCTTCTTGCCAAATGATCCTGGGGAAGTGTCCTTCCAAAGCATACATTTTCTTCTCGTCATCTTGCACACCGAGATTTCTCTTCCCATTACGCGGGACGGATCTGTCCTATTTACTGGTACGAAGTGATAGAACGTAAAAAAACACGTAGTACAACTGAGGCCGCCGGGACGGTGGCTCAGCAGCCACACCTACTTGGCCGCTGCGGCACCTAGGGCCCGCAGAAGACGGGTCTGCGGGACTGCCAGGTCTCTGGGCGCCGCCCCCTCCTCGACTCCTCCCGGGAAGGTTCCTAGCCGGGGACCCGGGGCAGAGGCTGGGTGGCCCGGGTGGGGACGGGCGGACTGTTCGCAGCCCCCGCCGGAGCACGCGGGAGGCTGGAGGGGATGAGCGCCCGGCCCAGCCTGGGAGGTTGGGGGAGGCCGGGCCCGGCGGGAGCCGGAGGCCTGGGAAGACACCGACGTAAAAAATCCGGCGATGGGACGGCGGCTGCCCAATGCACCCCACCCCCTGCACCCCCCACTCTCCCCGCCCCCCGCCTCCTAGGACCCCGCGAGAGGCGGAGCTCCGCGGGGGCCGGGCCGGACGGGCCCTTCCCCGCCGAGTCCTCTTGCCCTGCCGGCGTCCCCGGACCCCAGTCGCCACTCACTGTGTTTGCCGCCGCCACCGCCGCCGCCGCTCGGGTAGCTCAGCAGCAGGAATGGCAGCGGGGAGCCCGGCGACGGCGGGGTCCTCCAAACGCGCTGCTGCGGCGGGCGCGCTGGGAAGCCGGCGCCTCCATTGCCGGGGTAGAGCAGGAAGAAGGGGGCGGCTACAGGCGAGTCGGGTTCCGACTGCCCGGCGGGGGAGGCCAGCGGCGGTCCCGCCTCGCCCTCTCGATCCGCGCCCCCGGCTGGAGCGCGGTGCGGCTCCTCCAGCGGCCGCCCCCCGCCCCTCGCCGGCTCTTCGCGGTAACTTTCCGCTCCGGCGCTGGGCGGCGACGGGGTCTCTGCCATGCTGGGTCCTTCCTTAGCCGCCGCCTCCGACTCACGCCCGGGCCTGGGCGGGGGAGCAGAGAGTCACCGCTAGGAGCCGCCGCCTCGTCCGGCCCGCGCCGCCGCCGCCGCCGCCACCTTTCTTCTCGGCCGCGGGCCGGCTTCTTAGCTCCGCCGCACTGTCCACAGCCCGCCCCGCGAGGGTCCGAGCCAGCTGGATGGCCAGCCCCGCCCGACGGCGCGCTTCGCAACCAGCAGCTTCCTCTCGATTGCCCCTCCCGCCCCGGCCCCCCGTTTGCGAATCGGCTCCCCTAGGTGGCAGAGTCCTCCTCTTCCCACTTCCCCACCTTCCGTTTCCCTCCGGCAGCCGATCTCCCGCCTGATCCTGGGGAAGAGACGATACCCTTTGCTGCGTCCTTACCCGCCCCCGGAGGCACGGCCTTCTTAGGCTGTCAGGTGTGTTTGCCCCACTGGTGCTTGAAAGGTGGGAGGCCTGGAGCACACCTAGCGATGTTTTTGTCTGTAATCGCCTAACTTCATCGGTAGCACGAAAGCACAAAGATCTGGGTTGAAGAGGAGGCGAAAGATAATTTTAAAAAGGAACTACTCCCCCACCCCACTCAGGGTATTAAACTGTACAGTTTGCGTTTCAAGTACTGGAACTTCAACCGTTGATTCACGGTTTTGATTCGTGAGCTTTTTATGTGAGAAACCAGAGGTGGGTGTCTTCTTTCTCCCACCTCTTTTGTTCTCTGTCGTGTGCGCTGTATAGAAATCTTGTATTTGCTTTCACTTTAACTCCCTGGTTTTCCAGTGCTCCGAGTGTGCATGAGTGCATTTTAAACCAAACAGCTTAGAATATATATGACAAGTGTCTATTACAGGTAGGCAGTTTTCACTTTTATAGTGTTTGTGCCTCGCTCGTAATTGACCACCGTTGCTTTATTTTGACTACTTGAATCAATGATTACTGATCCAGGAATTCCCTTAAGTAAACATTTCTCTCTCAAAGACAGTTTCCAGTCACTATCGTTATTCTTTACCCTGGATTCTGTGAACGTGCCCCCATATTTCCTAGCTAATTAGTCTTGTGTTCAGCTTGCAAAATTGCCGGCGTAGAATCCACATTGACTCAAAAATCACTGTTGTGTGCGGTAACATTTTGCCCGCCTGCTTTTCGCTTTCTGTGTTCTTTTTTGTAGAGGAAGTTATACTTATCGGAAAGGAAGATAAAACGTTTGTATTGTTGTTATTCTCTGTAAATCACTCTTGAAATCACCAACAGAAATTACCAAATCTATCCTTCACCAAATGTTTTAAAACAAGAAATATTAAAATGGAAGATATTTACAAGACACTAAGCAGTCTTAGAGCATTTCTTTCTTAATAGCTTTTCAGTTTCTGAAATTTACTGACCTGTTGATCCCAGCACCAGTGCTTAACTTAACATTATTTGTCCTCTGAGCCTGGTTTCCTCTTCTGTAGAATGAGGACCATATTACTTAAACAGAGATGTGAAGGTTAAATAAGAAATGTAAGTAAAGCCTTTAAAACAGGGTCTGGCATAGAGTTTAATCAATTATTTAATAATTATTACTAGCCATTTTATTTTGGCAAAATAGCTAGTGTATAACTTTAATAAAAGCAAACAATTGAGGAAAAAAATGTTTCATCTTCAGCATTTGGAGGTTTGTTGGGTCTTTTCAGTCTTGGTGAGGGTTACTTGGTAAAACATTGGCCTTTTATAGATAAGTGGTATTTTGGGTGAAGGGTGACACAGTGCACAATACAGGGGAAACTAGCACAACTCGTACAAGGAAAGGTCATGGAAGCCCCATAGACACATCCAAACTCCCCGAGGGAATGCATTGCTGGGCGGAGGGCTGTGGGGACCATGGTCTCGGGGAACATCTAGCTCAATTGGCATAACACAGTTTATAAAGACAGTGTTCTACATTCTACCTTGGTGAGTAGTGTCTGGGGTCTTAAAAGCCTGTGAGCGGCCGTCTAAGATACTCCACTGGTCTTATCCCTTCGGGAGCAAGGGAGAATGAAGAAAACAAGATACAAGGAAAAGATTAGTCCGAAGGATTAATTGTCCACAGCTACCAAGGCCTCCATCGGGCTGAGTCCAGTACTGCTAGATGGTGCCTGGCTACCACCACTGACTGCTCTGACCAGGATCACAACAGAGGGTTCTGGACATAGCTGCAGAAGGATGTAGAACATAATTCTAACTCACAAAAAAAGACCAGATTTACTGACCTAAAGGAGACTGGAGAAACCCCGCGAGTATGGCCTCCAGACACCCTTTTAGCTCAGTGGTGAAGTTATCTCCGAGGTTCACTGCTCAGCCTGGGAGTGGACAGCCCCGTAAAACCAAATGGGACTAACGAGGTATAGGAGTCCAGTGCCAAGGGCCAGAAGGCAGAAGGGGACAAGGAAGCTGGTGATAGGGAACCCAAGGTTGCGTAAGGATATTGTTGATGTGTTGTGAGATTGTTAACCATTGTCATAGGGCAACATGTGTAGTAACTGTTAAATGAGAAACTATTTTGTTCTGTAAGCCGTCATCTTAAGTGAGAATAGCACAATTGGAAGGGTGTAGTCAATGTCACTGAACTGTGCATGTAGTAATTTTTGAAATGGTGTATCTTTGGCTATGTGTATTTTCACCAAAAAAAAAAGGTTGAGAAGTTAGAGGGTTACATGTTGTGAGGCTGGTAACCAATGTCATCATAAAACAATATGTGTACTACTGTTTCATGAGAAACTATTTGTTCTGTAAACCTTCACCTGAAGTACAATAAAAATAAGAAAAATAAAAAAAAAATTTGCGTTTTAGGAATTGTATATCGTATACTACCTTGAAGAGAAAACCTAAAAATTTCCAGATGTATCGTGGTTTCAATGCCTGTTCTTAATGGATCTCTTAGTATGTTTTTGCATGCAGAAATTTCTAAGGATCGTTATATTTTTGTCAGATTCCTTCACAGAGATGTTTTACAAGAATATATACTTCTCCTATTGTAGGTAGAAGAAAAGAGAATGGTAGGGCCCAGATCAGAATTTTCACAAATTATTCTCCAGAAAGGACCATAATCAACCAAGAGAGTCACCAAGTTAACAAAGTACAAAACACTATGTAGTCTAAATTGCCAGCTTTCTCTCTTCTTGTTAGTCAGGATAAACTTGTTGTTGTTGTAAGCAACCCTGTGTACAACAGAACGAAACACTGCCCGCTCCTGCGCCATCCTCACAATTGTTAATGCTTGAGCCCATTGTTGCAGCCACTGTGTCAATCCATCTTATTGAGGGTCTTCCTCTTTTTCTGTGATCCTCTCCTCTACCAACCATGCTGTTCTTCTCCAGGGACTGGTCCCTCTTGATAACATGTCCAAAGTATGTGAGACAAAGTCTTGCCATCTGTATATAAATATTGACATGCTCTGGAATCTTGTAATGTATTGGCCCTTTTGTGCCTCTCCACTTTTAAAAACAATTGTATTTATGCTTTATGTCATTAATTAAGTAGCAGTATAATGAATACAGAAAACCAGCTGAAATATGAGTCCTTTAAAACTTACGGGCAAGGTTATTTATGAGCTTTTCCTTTAAAGGTGGATAGATAGTACTCCAAGTTCCTAGCGTCTTATGCTTTTAGCATTTGGATCAATAAGATAATCATAGCTCTGCACAAGATCTAGTGACATAAAGGGCTGATTCAGCTGCTACACACATTTACGGAAGCCAAGATTATAAAAACAAGCTTAAACATGTTGTTCCTTTTGAAAATGCATGGAGTGTCTTTCTATGCTGTTTTAAAGTAAAATCCAAGCCACTATAATTAAGAATCAAGCTCCATTAATTTTCTTGTGAAATCAAACAGAGATGCTTTTTAACTCTTATGTATGTGTTTTTTTTTTGTGTGTGTGTGCATTAGGTGAAAGTTTACAGAGGAAATTAGATTCCCATCTGATAGTTTGTATGGAAAGTATTGCATGGCCTTGGTTTCACTCCCCACAATGTGTCAGCAGTCTCCCCATTTACGCCCTGGATTCCAGGTTTCCTTTCGTCCTGATTTTCTACCTCTTCCTGCCTTCTCATCTTGGCTTCTGGGCAAATATTGCCCTTTTAACCTTGTATAATGGATTGTTCTAAGGAGCGCGTGCCTCTTGGGTGTTATTGTTTATTTTATGGGCTTGTCTGTTGTTCGGCTGGCAGATGGTCTCTGGGAATTACTTCAATTCCACGTCAGAAAGGTGTCTTTAGGGCCATAGTCAGGGGGTTTCTCCAGTCTCTGTCAGCTCAGTAAGTCTGGTCTTTTTTGTAAATTTGATTTTTTCTTCTACATTTTACTCCCGCTGTGTCTGGGACCCTCTGTTGTGATCCCAGTCAGAGGAGTGGTAGCTGAGCATGATCTAGTTTTTCAGGTCTCAGGGTCATGTAGGCTGTCTTACCTACATTTTCATTTTAGTTATCCCTGTTTGTTTTGAAACACTTTGGTGAGCTTAAAGATGGATACTTAGAATACATTACAAAACTTTTTAGAGGTCAATGTCATGGATGATAATGTGCCTACAGCATAAGCTTCTTCGGGCTGTGATCAGAGAAAGATACCACTTGGGAAGGGTGAATATTCTTTTCAGTATAGTACACGTGTTCGTTGTGATTCTAAAGTAATGGTTTTCTTGAACCCTTTGTTTTACAATGTGCAGTACTTGGGAAAAGTCCTATGTGAAAACAGCAAGTCAATTTCTTAAGACGTCATGTTAAGCTGATTTTAATAAATGCAAGTATTTACATTAATTAATATAATGCCGCATTATGAAAGCTCACTTAAGAATCCACTGTTCCTTACTTCTGAATTACTAGGCTTTGATGACTATTGTTATTGGCTTATTGGTTTATTTTTCCAAAATATTAATTACCAAAATAATAAATTTATACTTCCTTTCCATGTATATTGTAGATACTCTTAAGAAATATAAGCACTGTATATAGTCTAAAACTATTAATGGCAGTCTTCTCTGAGTTGTAGAGATATGGACATTTTTTCATCTTTATTTGCAGAGTCTATAACATATGTACTACTTTTATAATAGAAAATAAAGCATATTGAGGGGTTATTTTGATTAATGGTTTATTTTGATAATGGTATCTTTTTTATGAAGATCTACTATCAGCAAAGTTGTGTTCCTTGTGTATATCATGGGAAGTAGAATTCAGGTGAGT